GCGGAAGGAGGAAAGGTTCATTTAGTCTCACAGGTTGCAGAGGACTGAGTCCGTGTCCCAAACCAGGGCCGCAGGCCGAGGGCCATCACGGAGGACAAAGAGACCGGGCGGGAGGCACCGGAGCAGCCGGAGCAGCCGCCGCCGCCGCCGCAGCAAGCCTGGCTTCTCTGTCTCTTACTCCATGCCGGCTTCCGGGGTCCCGGTGGGGCCATCCACACCCGGGGCGGGGTTTCCGTTTTATGTGAATGCGTTCAGCCAACCCGAAACTAGGCTAATTCCAATCAGTGGACTAATTTAATACCGTACACCCTAGATCCAGGCAGTTCCAATAAACTCCACCAGGTGCATGTGGGACGACATCTGGATTCAAGCCCTAACAAAATGTAACACACGAGAAGTGTGCAAATCTAAAAATGACAGAAATCTGTAAGAAAATTTATAAATTATCCTTAGTCTTATAACTCAGAAATAAATATTGCTATTGTTTGTGCATGTTTTCCTTTAATTCATTTCTAGTTTTTGCAGTATAAATAAAATTTAAGTCAGTATATATGTGTCATTATATATTTTAAATGAGAACTATATCAAATAATTTTTGTATCATTAAATAACCACCTAAAACTTACTATGGACTGTCCACCATGTGTTTTATTGCCATCTGAGTATTTAAGTTTTAATATTTTAACTACAAAAGCAATACAAATTCATAGCATGATTAAAAGTCTATAGGACTGAAAGAAGAAAATATTGATCACCCACACCCTCACTTCTGCAGAGGGAATTGCTCTTCCTGCTGTAGCATACATTGTGTGGTGTCTAGTTGCCCTTCGCTGACCATGATGCTTCCAACCTTGGGAGCTGGAGCACTTAGTTCAGTGCCCAGAGCATGTAATTAGTGTTCAACATGCTTCTAGTGAATGAATGAGTGAATGGACAAGTGATTAAATGGAAAGGATTAACAGATGTAGGAATGAAGAACCTGCAAAGACGTAGTTCACGGTAGAATAAAAATACATTCCAGACTCAGCAACTTAACTGTAGATTGAGAGACAAGGTAGCTAGGCTGAAGCCCTTAATGAATTGGAGCCTGCTCTTTCTGTTCATCTGAATCAGCCTCGAGGCAGAGAATTCAATTTAATTTTTTTTCCATCAGTCAAACTGAAGAGCTGAAAAAGCAAAACTAGGGACAAAGGAGGCAGGCGGTGGAACAGGCTTGGTGGAGGAGATCGGCACTGCTATTCCTTCTGACTTGGGACAAACACGGGTGGGGGAGCCATGCTTCTTCTAAGAGTGGACTCTGGGAAGCTCTCAAATGAGCATGACCCTCCACGCTGGAAGAACTTAATTTCCCACAGAGGATGGAAATCCCAAAACTGTCAGAACATTGCTTGTAATCTTTGCCTGGATGTTCTGTAGAGGAAAATACAATCATGCTGGGGTTTATTTGCAAGAATTGGGGGTTATGTTTGGAATGCTTAGAAGCAGGGCAGACAGAATTGGATCTCCAGGTTATAGAAGTTTCTGTTGTCTCTCTACATTTAACTGGAAACACATGTCCTGTGTGAGCAGCTGTCCCAAGGTGCCTGCTGTGAGAAGGACAGTGGACTATTTCCTACCTGGAAAATTTAGTTCTTCAATTATAGTAGACAGACATATTCTTCTCAATCACGTGGTCTGGTCATGAGGTTTCCATGCACAAATAGAGGAGGGGGTGAAGAGAAAGAAACGGGAAGATAAAGGAGCAGACAAATGCTTTCTACAGCCTTTTTTTTCTTCTTTCTTGTTTTGCTATCAGCTGGCTTCATCTCCTTTCCTTCTTCTAAATGTTTTCCCACAAAGTGAGCTCGAGCTGCTGTGTATGCCGCACCTCTACTTGCCACATCTACGTGGTGAATCTACCGCGTAGTGTCTCCTTGGTACACGCTGCTGTCTCTAACGCTAAAATGATGTCTTCAGGAAGCCTGGTTGCTGTGTTTCTACCCTGTGAATCCCTCTGGTCTCCGACCTGCTACAGTTTCAGCTCCTGCCTCAGTTTCTCTTTCCATGTAGTATACCCATATATATGTTTAGAATCAGGGAGAGGTTATACTTTTTTCTTCTTGAATAACTGAATTAGAAATACAGAAAGATAAATACTATGTGATCTCACTTACATATGGAATGTTAACAAAATTACTTCACAGACACTGAGAGTAAATGATTACCAGAGGGCTGGGGCTGGGAATATCGGGGCGACGGGGAGATTTGATCAATGCACGGATTTCAGTGACACAGGAGGAATAAACCTTACCAATCCACTGCAAAGAGTGGTGACTATATGAAATGCATCATGGATTTTTAAATTTCTACGCAAGATCCTAAATGTTTTGTAAGCATGTGAGTTGATTAATTTCTTAATGGCCATGTAAAATTGAGCAGTGCATCGTGCAGAAATGCAAACATTATATTATGCCCCATGAATATGTAGTACATGCAATTATGACTCCATTAAAAATAATATAATTAGATGTGGTCTTGTGTTCCATGGACTGTAGTGGCTTCTGAGTCAATATTGCTTTATTTATGAAGTTGCTGAACAAGAGCACGACTAGGGAGAAATGCAGAATATATCCTGTTTTCCCACATACAGAATTCTGTACACAAAGGGATTAAAGTTTGTTCATGGAGAAAAGAGTCAATTTGCATCAGTACCGTGAGAATTGGGGTCGAACGTGGTAGGCACTCGTCAAAAGCTTAATCAGAGTCATCAACATCATGGCTTACTGAAGAGCTGCTGTAGTAGTCATACCTTTTTCAATAAATAAATTGAAATACACATCCTTGACCACATTTTAGGCTATTGTGAATATATATCTCTATATATTTATATCTATCTATCTATCTATCTATCTATATATATATATCTTTTATTTACTAGACAAAAATGTTTTGATAGTGGCATGTTTAACAAATATTTCCTGGATTAACTCGAAGTGGCCTTGAACTTCTCTGAACCCCATAAAGTTTTGAGTCCAAACAACAACAAAAATTTTTAATCACTTTCCCCTTTTCCTTCGCTTCCATTCCCCTCCCTAGTTCCTCCTTCCGCTTGAGCAATTTTTTCCTATTTCACAATATCTATTGTACATTTTGGTTCCTACTTATCCTTTCAGTTTCTCATACCAGGGAGAGGAGAGAGGATCGGGAAAAAGGAATCAAAATAGATCCCATACAAGTACAGATTGCCTATGAGGAATATGACCTTTATATGTATCTAAGTTGTACCAATAAATTTAGTTTTAGGAAGTGACTTCCCCATGAGTTGTAAGGTCGTATGCTTAGAGTTGTGTAGGTGGCGAGGTGAACTGAGCGTGGTGTGCTGGAGAGCACAGGCCACAGCTGAGAGCTGGTGGCGATGTGAGTTCGGGAAGGGCTTCAGCTGACTGTCTTTCTGTAGATTGAAGGGCTAACTGCTTCTGGACTCGCTACCTGTGAGCATTTGTGGTGGGAAACGTAAATGTGGTGGAATTATCGGAATGAATGAGGCAACGATGGCATGGAAAGACTTGAGCCAGGCATCAGAAATCGGAAACCCCAGTTTCTTTAAAGTTTCGACTCCTTGAAGATGGAGTTTCAGGAGGAGTGAGGTTGTGTGCTCAGTTTCTGTGACAGCATCCCATAACCACTCACACACCAAGGTTAATTCAGCCTGGTTCCTAGCTCTCTTGCAGCTCATCGCAGCATTGTGGGGAGACACACCAACCAGTAAATAACTGCGCGAGACAGTAAATATGGTGGCGGCACCGTGAATAGGGTGGCCAGCTCTATTTGGGAGGATCGTAGACTTCCAGTACACAGCAGTTTAAATTCCTAATGGACACTCTTTCTTTTAGGATTGTAGTAAAACCCATATATGTAACAGGGCGACACTGCGGAATCACTGCTGTCACTGCCCTGGTCTGTCTTGCAGGCTGCTTTCCTCTCCCAACGTGCTCATAGGGGGGAATCTCCCTCCTTGAAATAGAGAACATGGGTCTGACTCTATTAATCATGCAGGGCATCAGTTTTTGCCTTGCTGAGTCCTGGAGAACATCCGGAATGTTTTCCTTCTTGTGACACTTGCATGAGTTGCTATCCATGATGACCTGCCTGGTTCACTGATTTACAGAGCTTGTATTTCACAAATACTTTGTATGTATTTAAGGGATGTGAAAACAACTAAAGAATAAACAAATATGAAAGCTCTAACCATATACTACACTATGACGAGTGCTCTAAAGAAACAAAAGATGAGAAAGGAGAGATCCGTGGGCTTGAGTGCTCAGAAAAGGCTGAGTGCGGAGGGAGCCACATTTCTGCTGGCCTTGTTTAGATGAGCACAGTTTACTTGGGCGTGAGAGTGGCCTATCCTTGGCATCTTTCGAGGATGTAGGAGTACAAAGGAGCCTGTTATCTCTGGTGGCCTTGAGGAGCTCCATTTCTAATTATCCATCATACAGCAAAGCAGTAGGAGAGGAAGTGAAGGATCAGAGTTTGCATACAGCATTGGCTTAGATACCAGCTCTTGAGCATTCTTATGTGTATTCAAAATGTATATCTATGTGTCCCACTTTTCCTGGAAGAAGCTGCCCCTCCCTCATCTTCACATCCCTCACAGAGCCTTGCCCCAAGTAATGTTTCAGTAAACAGCTCGTAATTAAATGTTACAGAATTGCTTCAAGTGTATCTAAATGCTATCTAAGGTTTGAAGGGAAACGAAAGCACCGTGAAGAATGTGCCCCTAAAGCAGACAGCGATGGTAACTGGAACTGGATTTATCCTCAGCTTAGAAGCAGTCCGTTGTGCACCTGTGAGGTCAGGAGAAGCACGGCAGTCATGTTCTCCTATGGCTATCTAGGTAGTGAGATGCCTGCCGGAGCATGCCGGCAACCTTGTGTCAGAATGGTCCCAGGAAGGAAACCTCAGCTGGTGGTCCATGGTGGCCCTTGAAGCTCACGTTCTTCTGCTTCCTTGTTTTGCAGCTCTACAGCTCCATGGATTTCGGAAGACGGTGGCAACTTGTGCACGAGCGCATCACACCTAACAGGTTTTACTGGTAAGCCTCACCCGCATGCTCCTTGCCTTCTTGGATGGAGACCGTGGGCAGCACTGGGCAGCTCCAGAACTTGGAGGCTGGTGTGCTCCAACTTTGCTACTCAGAACAGCCCATGGCGCAGTAGCAGCACCGCGTAGGAGCTGTTGGAAACAAGCTCTCAGGCCTCCTGGATATTTATGGACCTGGGATGTGTGGTTAACCACGACACCTTGGTGGTCCTTGTGCACTTGAAGTTTGAAAAGTACTGGGCTGCCTCAGGGCTGAGCAGACACTCTTGGCTCCATACACATTGTAGCATTTGCATACCTGAGACAAATATTATTAAAAATAAAAAATTAAAAGGACTGGGAAAGTAGTTCAGTGTGAACCCACATTTTTAGTGGAAAGCTAGCCTGTCCTAGTTAGGCAGTGTTTTCATTCACTGATGTCCCTTTATTCATGCACAGTGTTTCGCCCTGTGTCATACTTACCTTTCTCTCATTGCTGGGACAAAATACCTGACACCCAAAATGAAGGAAGCAAACGCTTATTTAGCTCTCAGTTTGTGGAGGTTTCAGTCCACACTCGGCTGGCTGCGAGGTAGAGTGGCACGTGGCAGAGGGCAGCAGTTCATGACAGTGACAAACAGCAGAAACAGCAAGAGTGAAAATGGAGAAGCAGCGGCAACAGTGGCAGCAGCAGCAGTGGCAGCGGCAGCAGTGGCAGAGGCAGCAGTGGCAGAGGCAGCAGTGGCAACAGAGAGCGAGTCTCTCCTTTACGCTGTCTGCAGGCTGACCGCCCAGGCTGAGTGTAGCACTCACACCCGTGGGCCCAGCACTAGATCGGGAGTTAATCCCAAAGTCTAGAGGCCCACCCCATGGCTGTGTGAGGCTTTGGGGGGACAACTGGACCCCACCCATAGCACTTTGGTTGAGACAGGCTGAATATAAATTCACCATGTGACTTTCTGGCCATCGAAGGTGCTTCCTCTTTGTCTCTCGTTGTCATTGCAGGAGAGATGAGAAGCAGGAGCGGAGGTGAGGAAACACACCAAGCAGATAGTGCACATAGCTACGGGCTTAACTCAGCCACCTGTGATCTCCTTTTCAGTAGCTTGTTTCAGGGAATCTTAGAAACTCACGTGCAGCCATTTATGCCTTACGCCACGGCCTACTTGTATGAGTGACGGTAGTTTCGAGGTGACAAACTCTTGTAAATACGCATAGTCATACCAGCATCTTGGCAAGCAGTGGCTTCACCTGGCTCCTTCTGCACCCAGAATTAAAAGTGACAACTGCCTTAGAACGTGGTGAAAACCAGCTGTTCCACTGCTTAGGGTGCAGGGCAGAGAGGAAAAAAGGAAGAGGACTGGGGACAGTGCTGCCTGCCACCACCTGGGCCGTTCGCAGCAGTTCTGTTTCTTGCAGAGACAACTATCGTCTCATCTGTAACTCTTCTCACAGCTGTAGTTTGGTCTGTGTTGGGAAGTATTAAAATTTTTAAAAGACCAAGGCAGAGAGTGGAACTCTTTGGAACTTGTTTCTCTCCTAATCCAACCATGTAGCTATAGCCCTTGCTCAGCTGTGCCGTAGCAGCTTTGCAGTACAGGAGAGCAATCCTTGCTTTCTGTTTCTGGAAGGGAAGGACCTCAGTCAACCAGGAAGTCAGGCTGGTGGAGAAGGAAAGCACAGGAGGCTGCAGGGCCTTGGCGTTGCTTCTGAGAAATTAATCAAGCGGACGAAGGGCAGCATTTTGCTATCTTTGGCAAAGAGCAAGATGAGAATGCATCCGCTGCTGGTCCTCCCCCTCTTTTCCTTTCTGAATCAGACAGAATAAATCCCCAGGCCCTAATCGTCGCATCTCTTCTTTCCTCCACTCTGCTTCTTGCAACGCACCCCCTTGGGGAAGTATAAAAGCCAGTGCCCGTGCCGGCTAGTCAAGTGGCAGCTGAACATCCCATTTTTGTAATTATCGCTTCTCTGTTTCTGATGTGTAATTGCCGTGCTTATTCTTCTAGGTGTCACAGGAGTCACCGAAGAAGAGCTCATTTTATGCAGCCTATTTTCCTCCCAAAGACAGAATCCAAGGTTGTCTCAAACTCTCAATTGCTTGTGTTGAAGGGTCCTGGTTTAGATATATGTTAGGAGAATGTTTTACTAATACTAATGTTTTACCTCCTTGAGAAAATTCAAAGTGCATAGTTGTCCAGGTAGGGAGCTGACTCCAGCCTCCTTGAACCTTGCTTGACCTGTTTTCTTGGCCATGTGACGGGAACAGCATTTTTCTTTCAACTGAATAACACTGTTGAACAAGCTGTGCTCAGATGGACACGTGGCTGTGGTGCTTCTCTGTGTCAGATTTCTGATTTGCAAATTACAAATTTCCCAGTACTGCAGACTTGAGTACTCCCAAGTACTGTCGACTTTAAGTACTGAGTTCATTAGCAGTCCTGAAGAGGCTGACGTGTACAGTATGTGCTAGTTTGCTGGGGCACAGGTGTGTATCCCTTGCAGGTGGGGCTGCACACCCCACCTGCTTGCATCTGGCAGCTTGGGAGTGAGTCTAATTTGCTGCCGAGAATCCATACCTCACCCTGGTGTTATTGTTCTCTACTCTTTGGTAATTATTCTTATGAAGTGGTAAAAGCAAAGGAGAACAACAAAATTTCTGAAACTGCTTCTTCAGGAGAGATGTGGCAGAGTGAGCCAGCTTTGGGCAGGGAGGGGTGACGCTGATGGGAAAGAAACACAGGGAGGGAAGGGACGTTCGGATCCTCGTGTGCATGTGGATGAGCAGAGCTGGGGAGGCCGTGCTGCCCCCGGGCGCTGCCTGACAGTGGGATGGTTGCGGATGGCTGAGGGCTGGGTTCCTGGGAGGACCTTCAACTTGGGCCTGTGGGAAGCAGCACCGCGGAGGGGCGCTCGTGGGGACGACACCGTGTTGTCGGAGAGACTGGAAAGGGCATGCAGGAGGGCACGACCACACCCAGCATCCTTCCTGTCCTCTCCAGGGTGGTGGCTGCTGGAATGCCTATTCACTGGGAATCTGAACGGCTGTTACCACCACCTCGTCTTTTGTACCCTACAGTGTCTGTGGCATAGGCGGGGACATAGTATTCATTAACAAGCATAATAAAAGCTGTGCCCATTGGTGAAATACTCTACAGATCTCGGATGTTCCAAACTCGCTCATCACCAGAGGTTGGGGTAAGGCCGTGCACCAGAAAATGACTCCGCCATCAAGCCCATGTCCCAGGGAAAGGGACAGCGGATGCAAAAGCTCCCTGGTCGTGTTCTACTCGTCTTTCTTGGTGCCTAGTCCCTGGGTGATCCCTGGCCTGTCTGGGGCTGCCCACTTATCACCCCTCTGCTCTGAAATGAGGGCCGGCAGGAAGAGTCCATGAGAGAAGTGAGCGCCCTGACGCCCCGTCTCTCTCTTCACAGTCGCTGTTGGAGAAGAGTGACAGGCATGGGGTGGAATCTTTTCTGTTTATTCCCCTCGCTCTCTGTTCTAAAATCTTACTGAGCTGCAAATGAGTAGTGTTTGCACTTTCCCTCGGGGGGCGCTTAGCAGGCAGGCAAGCGCTGCAGCGGCAAGATCACTTGCCCAGCACGTTCAGTGTGAATGCTGGTTGCAGCTCGGGGCCTGTTCTTTCAGCCCTACGCTCTCGTGGGTGTTCACTTCTGTGGCCATCGCTTTCAGTGCATTCCCAGAGGGCCTGGCCTCTAGAATTTGTGTGTGTCCGCTCTGGCCTTGAGCACCTCTGGTCTCTGAAGGCATTTGCTTGTGTAACATCAGGAAGAAGGAACGAATGTCCTCCCTCTGCTCACTCGCTTCTCTTCCCTTCGGTTATGTCCTCTCTCAGGAGGACAGGATCTTCCTCTTCCTTCTCACTACTGCAAGGAGATGTTCTGATAAAGGCACAGACCTACAATGTCAGGGACTTAACTCTTACCCCTTTCGGGGGTGTCTGGGCTGCAAGATGCGCTGGTCTTGAGGGCGGAGAGCCCTGTAAGATGCCCAGAGATACAGTAGAAAAGTTGCAGGTCCACTCTGGTAGGGGATGCCGAGAAAGGATGCTTAGATCCGGACCTCTGATTTATGCTGAGGCCTGGTTACAAGGTGAGGGGTGGCAGTGGGGTAGGGACAGACAGGCTGCACTCAGAGATGGACAGACTGCACTTGGGGACGGACAGACTGCACTCGGGGATGGACAGAGTGCATTCAGGGATGGACAGACTGTGCTCGGGGATGGACAGACTGCACTTGGGGACAGCAGACTGCACTCGGAGACAGACAGACTGCACTTGGGGATGGATGGACAGACTGCACTCGGGGATGGACAGACTGCACTCGGGGATGGACGGACAGACTGCACTCGGGGATGGACAGACAGACTGCTTTTCGGGACAGACAGACTGCTCTTAGGTTGACTTCCGCACAGTGGATTTCTGGCGGTGGATGTGGCGGCAGCTCCTCGTCTGTTCTCTCAGACAGACCGTGAGTAAAGGAGGGGAGAAGGGAGAAGCAGAGCCACTCCTCCTGGAGTGTGCAGAGGGGCCCGGGCCCTCTTCTTCAGAGGGGAAAGGGCTGGTGTGGGAGAGCAGACGCCGCCTGCTCCGCATCTCCCCTCTCCAGCCTTCCATCCCCTTCGGTGTGCCAGTTCATTTTGTGTGCGTGTGTCCTTTTGTGCATAGCCTAGTCATAGTACATATGAATCTATATGGCCTGTTTCGTTTCTTAATGCTCTATTGCAGTGATTTTGTCATTGTAAGCCTGACAGTCATCTCTTTTGTGGTGGTACTTGGGATTCAGCTCTGGGCCTTGGCTTGCCAGGCTGCTGGGTTTACCACTGAGCTACCCTTTCCGTCCATAACCATCATTTTTAATGGCGCAAAGACATATACTTGATTGCCCTGCTTTATTGAAAATTCCCACATCTTTTCATGATCATCAGCAATATTTCATTGATATTTTATGCATCACTTTTTATAACAAGGATCGGGTCTTGGGCCAGTGTC